ACACATATACACACACACTCAATACTCATACACACGCACTCAATACTCATACACACATATACACACACACTCAATACTCATACACACGCACTCAATACTCATACACACATATACACACACACTCAATACTCATACACACGCACTCAATACTCATACACACATATACACACACACTCAATACTCATACACACGCACTCAATACTCATACACACATATACACACACACTCAATACTCATACACACGCACTCAATACTCATACACACATATACACACACACTCAATACTCATACACACGCACTCAATACTCATACACACATATACACACACACTCAATACTCATACACACGCACTCAATACTCATACACACATATACACACACACTCAATACTCATACACACGCACTCAATACTCATACACACATATACACACACACTCAATACTCATACACACGCACTCAATACTCATACACACATATACACACACACTCAATACTCATACACACGCACTCAATACTCATACACACATATACACACACACTCAATACTCATACACACGCACTCAATACTCATACACACATATACACACACACTCAATACTCATACACACGCACTCAATACTCATACACACATATACACACACACTCAATACTCATACACACGCACTCAATACTCATACACACATATACACACACACTCAATACTCATACACACGCACTCAATACTCATACACACATATACACACACACTCAATACTCATACACACGCACTCAATACTCATACACACATATACACACACACTCAATACTCATACACACGCACTCAATACTCATACACACATATACACACACACTCAATACTCATACACACGCACTCAATACTCATACACACATATACACACACACTCAATACTCATACACACACACACACACACACACTCATACACTCATATACACACACACACACTCATACACTCATACACACACACACTCATACACTCATATACACACACTCATACACACACACGATACTCATACACACATACACACTCAATACTCATATACACACACACTCATACACATATACACACACTCATACACACATATACACACACACTCATACACACATATACACTCATACACACATATACACACACACACTCATACACTAATACACACAAATGGCATCAGTGATTATTTTCCTCTTCTCCTCAGAAAGATCGTGGCTCATCTGATGTAGTCGATGGTCAGTAAGAACAAATAACTTACCGTTACCAACTACAAAGTCCTTGATGTCTGAATCAAAGTTCACCACATCACCGCAAATGCAATATTTCAGAAGTACAATAATTCCAAGTAAGTATCCTGTCATCTTAATTCGTATCTGAATGAGCAGTTGGATAGGCACAGCACAGGCTATTGTATTTGACGAGATCTTGTCACAGCGATCAACTGCGCTCAGACGCGTATAAGGGTGAACTAGATGGAAGTGAAAGCACGCAGCGCGCGGTGAGGTGAGGGCGGAGGTCTAACAACAACAACAACAACAGAGATATTGTATTTCTAAAACATTTATTAAGTAGTCAAACTATCCAAAAAGTTACTTGAGTGAAAGTAAAAAAAAAAAACGGTTTATTTGTATACCGAATTTAAAATGAAAAAGAGCTGATGTTTTAGAAATTATGACATTAGCCTATGCTCAAGAGGAATGAGACATAAATATGACATAAATATATAGCAGTCTTTTTGATCATAATCACTGTCTGATGGATTGTGTCTAAAAGCATATAGCTGTAATTTAATGTGTATCTCAACTGTTCAAGTTCACTTAAGACAAAACCGACTGCATTTACATTAATAGTCTACAAGACGGGCATTTTGGCATAATTTTTTCCTGTAAGTGTGTAGCAATAACAGAACTTAAGCGAAAGAGCACTCGGCGTTCGCACGCTGACTGAGAGGCGCGTTATTCTGTGAGCTCGCTTTCGGTGTGTGTGAGCAAGACTTAAAAACGCATGCAAATACTGAACATCACTTTCGTGATAATGCATTCAGTCAGTGACATTTCCATCAACTGGACTCGGTTGTAGTGATGGGAAGTTCGGCTTGGCTCCCTTAGAACACTGAATAAAAAATTGCTTTCCAGCACAAACCATTCACAATTGCTAAATTGGGCTAAAATAGAAGGCTCCGACTGAAGATTCGAAGATTCGTATGAAGACTCTTCTCGTTCGCTACAAAGAATCGGCTCGTTCGCAAACGACACAGCACTACTCGGTTGGACTCAGACATATTTTCTGAGTTCGAAAGGCTCCAGTCCGAGTCAAGTCCGAGTAAAAATGCATCCGAAATCTGTACTCGAGACCGGACTCGAGTCCGAGTATGAGTCCGAGTACCCCAACTCTACTCAAATGTAACCCGTTGTAGAATCGCTGCTGTCTCTTTATGTATGAATTATGAATGAATGGAATAGGCCTATTCATGTCAGACAATGCTGATTCAAAAATAACAGTGAAGGTTCTGACTAGGGGTGTCCTGGGATTTTACTAGTGCTATAGGCTGCAAGCTCTGTATAGTGAGATTGGCTTGCAAAAATAATCTGATGTAACTGGTTTTTTTTTTTTTAGCTTCTCCCAAACACCTTTATCTTCAGGTTTTTTGCTTGCCATCACGAGCCCACTCTCCTTCGCGTCAGTTTCGGTTTCTTATAACCATTGTTTTTCTTTGCACTGCCCTTTATTTTGTTTTCTTTTATCACCCTTTCAGAAGGAATAATTCCATTTTGTGAAATTTTGATTGCTGTGTAGGCACTTATAAAGTAGCACACATGAGCTTTGGGTGTAGATGTAGTTTCTCTGTTGAACTAGGGTGATTTTTGCACACGTTTATGTTACTCAAGCTAACATGTAGCAGAATGAAAATGTATCACAGTAATGGCACTATTTTGAAATACAACTGTGCGCAATTGCTACACCTGTGGTATAGACTGTGGTGGTTATGTCCAGCCAGTGTGCATACATAAGAAGTATATATATATTCAGATAGCAAAGTGGCAATAATTATTCTACCTTTATTGAAAATTAGGGATGTGATGATAAATAGTTTAGTATTTATTGTATATATTACAGCTATTTATATATAAAGTATATTTAAATGTAGATCATATTTCTATTATTTAATATTATTTATTATTATGAATATCTTGAGACCTTCATATCAGTTCATTTTAGTAGTAGCCATATTAGTTGTTTTTAATGGTTTACCCATTCATGCCAATAAAATTGGAAGTTTGAATGAAATTCAAATTCAAGGGGTTAGTAATAATCTTTCATAGAACTTCAAAATTAGGCATGTTAAAATGTAAAGACCTGATAAATGTTAGTGTTTATGTGTGTTTGTGCATTTAAATACAGAAAATACAGACCAGATTATAACGGTTATCGTAATGTTTATTTTTATGAAAAAAAAAGACAATCAAAGTTTTCAACAACTAAATAATTGTACTACAGAACTAAACCCCACACATGTGGAACCTTGAATTGACTGTTTGTGCAGTGTATAATAAATGAGTAGATTGCGCCACCTTCTGATCAGCAACAGAATGACTCTGGCAGGAGATGTTTGGTGATCTCTTATGCTGACTTATTGTAGATGTAAACAACATTTTATCATATTTTTTCTTTAAAAAAAGTTTGTATGTTTGCATGTGTCTGAGTTACAATGACTGTTGAATAGTTAGAGAACATAACACAAAACATTGTGTTAATTAAAGCTGAACTATCAGTTAAAAATTAATATATATCAAGTAGAAATAAAATGTAACAACAAAAACAAACAACTACCCACATTTATAATTGCATTATATATATATATATATATATATATATCAGATAGCAAAGTGGCAATAATTATTCTACCTTTATTGAAAATTAGGGATGTGATGATAAATAGTTTAGTATTTATTGTATATATTACAGCTATTTATATATAAAGTATATTTAAATGTAGATCATATTTCTATTATTTAATATTATTTATTATTATGAATATCTTGAGACCTTCATATCAGTTCATTTTAGTAGTAGCCATATTAGTTGTTTTTAATGGTTTACCCATTCATGCCAATAAAATTGGAAGTTTGAATGAAATTCAAATTCAAGGGGTTAGTAATAATCTTTCATAGAACTTCAAAATTAGGCATGTTAAAATGTAAAGACCTGATAAATGTTAGTGTTTATGTGTGTTTGTGCATTTAAATACAGAAAATACAGACCAGATTATAACGGTTATCGTAATGTTTATTTTTATGGAAAAAAAAAGACAATCAAAGTTTTCAACAACTAAATAATTGTACTACAGAACTAAACCAAAGACCTGATAAATGTTAGTGTTTATGTGTGTTTGTGCATTTAAATACAGAAAATACAGACCAGATTATAACGGTTATCGTAATGTTTATTTTTATGAAAAAAAAAGACAATCAAAGTTTTCAACAACTAAATAATTGTACTACAGAACTAAACACCACACATGTGGAACCTTGAATTGACTGTTTGTGCAGTGTATAATAAATGAGTAGATTGCGCCACCTTCTGATCAGCAACAGAATGACTCTGGCAGGAGATGTTTGGTGATCTCTTATGCTGACTTATTGTAGATGTAAACAACATTTTATCATATTTTTTCTTTAAAAAAAGTTTGTATGTTTGCATGTGTCTGAGTTACAATGACTGTTGAATAGTTAGAGAACATAACACAAAACATTGTGTTAATTAAAGCTGAACTATCAGTTAAAAATTAATATATATCAAGTAGAAATAAAATGTAACAACAAAAACAAACAACTACCCACATTTATAATTGCATAATATATATATATATATATATATATATATATATATATATATATATATATATAAATGGAACTCTCTAGACCTTGGAATAGGAAATCATAGTCTTTTTTTCTGTAGTATGCTGAGAATCATTTATGTTTTCATTTTTCCTTCATTTGTGGCCAGTTATATTCTGTGGACTGAGGCAGAACAGATACTTTGTACTACTCATCCCAAGAACATAATTCCCAACCGTGATCTGAAATGACAATGAAAAAATATTCTTTTCATCTTAATGTAAATCTTACTTTACAAAGTTAAATAAGATTTACATTAAACTTAACACAGCAGCGTTATCAAGTCAAATGATGAACTTCCATATAATCCATAGAATTACCAAAGAATTGAAAATATCAAAAACATACAGTGAGTGAGTCCACTGCTGGGAAGGCTCCTTTAATTTTACAGATGACGGCATTGGACTCAATCTTCTCCAAAACACACAGATACTGCCAATCTCCCTGTAGACCCGTCACAGTCACCTCACTCATACTCAAATTCAACATATCTGCCTTTTTCTGAGAAAAAGAGAATAATTAGTCCTATCAATGCACAGTTGGCAGCTCAAATTCTAAGGGCAGATCTTGCTCTTCTGAAGAAGTTTTTTTTTTTTTACCTGAATGTTCACCTGTAGATCATTGGCCACCTTTAAGGTGGTAAATTCAGTGAATTCCGGATCAGACTTGTAGGAAAAATAATCCACACAGTCCACAGCAGAGTTCTGAACATTTAACAACAATCTAAACAGACCACTGCGATCATAAGGATGGGAGTGAAACCACACATCCTGAGAAACAGAGAGAATGGAATTATGACTCTAATACATGTGAAGCTTTAAATAAAAATATGAAAGGCATAATGACATGAGGAATCAATTTTTTATACACTATGTATAAAGTGGTTAAAACTAGATACACTATGTAGTGGTTAAAAAAATGTAACTGCATGCTTTGGTTGTGCTTAGACTCTGCTCCTCTACACGGATGAATAAATAAATAACATTTTCTTTTCTTTTTTTGCAACTGGTGATTCATTGGAGGTTTGAGGTTTGGAATCATCCATGGTAATTTTTTTCTTGCTCGATGTGACAACAAAATTTCAGCTTCACACTATTCACAGCCAGAGCTACTTTTCTCTGTATACAGAAGAAGTACATGATGTGATGTGACACCTATGGATAAATAGAGTATATGTATGCAGTTTCCTGCAAAATCCATCCTGACAGCTCAAAAATAATATATATATATATATATTTTTAATCATTACAGTCGGAGGTGATAGTCTTGTGGACAGCGCTCCAAAATGTAGTGGGGCTGTAATTTAGGCAACACACCAGAGTCCCGACTTGCGGACCTTTCCCAATCCCGCCTCACTCTCTTTGCTCCCTGATTCCTGTCAGTCTATACCAGGGGTGGCGAACGTCTGTCCTGGAGAGCCGCAGCCCTGCAGAGTTTTGCTTCAACACTAATCAAACACCTGAACAAGCTCATCAAGGCCTGAAGGGTTATTAGGAAGCTACAGGCAGGTGAGTTTTAATTAGGGTTGGAGCTGTACTCTGCAGGGCTGCGGCTCTCCAGGACCGGAGTTCGCCACCGCTGGTCTATACTGTCCTATCGCAAAAATGCCAAAAATACATTTGTAAGGTTTTAGGTTTATTAAAGTGTATTTGGGTAAAAACATAGTTTGGGATATGGATTTTTCTTTCACTCATTAATAACTTTGTTATTTTTTATTTTAAAAAGGCTCCTGCCAGCTCAGGTCACTGAATTAATGATATTTGCGTCGTCTACTAACATTATAAGTGAACCTCAGTGGACATAGTAGAATACCTCATGCACTACATGTGTGAATATGGGCTTTTTGAAGACTCGCTTACTGTAAGTTATAAATAGCTGATATTTGTGTCAGATACAGCAGGAGTAATAAACACATCTTACCCCCGAGCTTGTGCTGTATTGTGTTTTTAGCACTTTATTAGAGGGAAGTACAGTAACTGACTCCACTAATTCCATATCGCTGCCCTGAATATGAATCTTCCTTCCACCACTAAATGAAGAGATTGAAATCAATTTAAGCCATTAATACATGATACTTAAGCAATATTAAAGTACAGTATTAAATCTTTAATTCCAACCACTCACTTTTGTGCATCTGAGTTCCACATACACAAACACACCGACACACAACACAACATTTCCGCAACCAATGAAAGTGAAAACTGTGACACATATTAAGAATGGTCTGGCTGTCAGGAAGCAGTTTGCTCCTACTAAATTTTAACGAAGACTATAGGTCAGCCCTATAATGGACTTGCCATCTATCTGTTTTTCATCTGTTCTAATGTTATCTCTGCAGATCACTACTTTGCAAATCTTATTTTTTCAAAATAAACAACATTCTTGCAAATTTCATGATTAAAATGGTCTGTGTGGCATACGATTTACTGCCATGAGCATGAAAGTTAGTCTGAAATGGTCTGACCTGCTCCAGCTGAGTGTGGGCTGTATTCCAGTGCAGCTGGGCTGAGAACTGTAAGTGATGATGCTGTTACCATGACAACGGTCGTCAGGAGTAACAACACACACTTTCACTGTTCCTTTAGTTTCACTGGGAGGAATGTGGAACCTTAGAGTGTCACTGGAGCGATCAAACACTGGAGATCTGAAGGTAAAGATATACAGTATGATTTATCTGAATCTACACACATTCATATATACCACTAAACAAACACACAGAGTCTCACTCTTTAGGAATGCAGTCCAGATACCCTTGAATACGGATTTTAGTGACAGATTCCAGGTTCCTTCCTCTTAGTAAAACATTGTTTCTGCCATGGAAAGAAACCTTGTTCGGCTCCAGAGACAGAATCTCCGGCTTCTACAAAGCACACAAAAAAATTGAGTAAAGAAAGGCCATAAAGCAGAACAAAATTCATTTCAACTCCATATGACCACAGTATTTTTAATGAACAATAGAAGTTAAAAGTAACTTAATAATAATAATAATAATAACATGTAATTATAAATTTACATTAATAAAAAATATATATGTAATTACTAATTAATAATATACTGTATTATACCATCTGGTCAGAAAAACTACAGGAGCAGTTTGAGAAAACTGCAGGCGGATCAGACCCGTCACACAGGTTTACACTTCCTTTAGTGAAGGTACATGAGAAGGCAGGATTTCCTGTGCTCTCTAGGCTCAATGCAAGATTTAGAGTAATCTGTGTAGAAGAGGGCAATGGTTAGTAAAGAGTAGTCTTGTAAATATTTTAAATTATAATTAAGAAAATACTTTTTTAATACGATATTGATGTCTACCTTTCTAGAAGAATTCTCTGCCATCTGAAAAGAAAACAGCCGCGTCTGAAGAGAGTTTTTTGGGATGGACACCCATGAAGTATTCGAGCACTCATCTTGAGTAGAACATCTAGATAAAGACAGCATCAACCAATATATCACTACAGAACTGTTTGCACACTGCTCATCTTGTCTATATAGAAGATAAGAAGTTAACATGCTGTTCTACAACTAGGCATATTTAGTGTAGATGCAGCCTATAGAGCATATACCATGTGTGATGTGTGAAATATCACAGGGTGATAAAGACAGACAGGCAGACTCTAATAGAGACAGATGGACCTTTGTGTGTTCACACACCAGCCGCAGAGAGGATCCAAAGCAGTTGTGCAGTCTTTCAGAGTGCTGTATTTAGCACACGAAACCACAGACACTCTTCTTAACTGCAGTACATAAGAAACATGAGCACTATTTTAGAGTCATTCTATAAAGCCAGCTTTTTCTTTTTGTTAAGAGGTTTTTAATATTAATTTCAGCTATATTTTAAGCATTCTTTCCAAAAAAAAGACTAATGTCTAAATGATCTAATTGTACTGCACCATCTAGAAAAAATAATGTTGTTTTTTATGAAGAGCCAACAATAATAAATATACAAAAAGAAGAAAAAAATATTATATTAATGGACAACATGTATAGCAGACAGCTATATTCATTCTAATATTTATTTATGTTCTGTTACCAGAGGCATAGCCATAATTTCATAAGTGAGGGGGACATAATTTCAACTGTAATACAAGTTTTTCTATTATTCTATTCTATTCTTTACTTTTCTACAGTCAATGGTTTAGGAAAGAAATAAAAATGTCACTCAAACCACACTATTACAAAAAAGACTATGTATTTGAAATCTAAACTTTGATAAAAGTAGTCTTTGATCATTTCTAAACATATATCCAAATGAAAAACCTAAAAATAGCACGGGATTAAACACCCCTGTAAGTATATAAATAGGGCTTATCAGGCATATAGTGGTTAAACCATGGTATCAAATTTGATTTGACTTATTTATATTCCCCAGATAGCCAGGATCGAATTAACACATTACTGTATATTATAAGGAGCTTTAAATCCTAGATTTATACATACACATTTGTCCGTGAAAACCTCTACGTGAACAAAATTGTCCCATGAAACATGTGGGGGAAGACTTTATCTGTGCAGGGGACACATCGCCCACATCCCTGGCACATTCTACACCCATGGCTAAATTATTTAAACCTCACCTGTTTCCTCAGAGCGATGAAAATATGTTTGAAATCTACTGGATCAAAGTGCATTCTGGGAAACACTGCTCGTTCACCATCAGATTTCAGCAGCACTGTTGGACATCCTGGAGTGAATTTCTCATCCAACACAAGCTAGAAAAACAGAACAGAAATACAAATCATGAATTATTATGACTGTAGTAGTTCAAATACACTGAACAGCTTAGAGCTATATGTGTAAATGGAAATGGTGCAGGTATTAGAAATGAAAACCCATTGAGAATTGTGAAAATAAATGCACGTGTATGAGATAGAATTGAAGGAGACCTTTATGAGTTGACCATCACTGGTTCCTATGAACAGCACAATCCAGGATCCACTTCTAACTGCTGCCACTGCTGACATTGAGCTGTGCTTGAACACGCTAGAAAAACAGAACAGAAATACAAATCATGAATTATTATGACTGTAGTAGTTCAAATACACTGAACAGCTTAGAGCTATATGTGTAAATGGAAATGGTGCAGGTATTAGAAATGAAAACCCATTGAGAATTGTGAAAATAAATGCACGTGTATGAGATAGAATTGAAGGAGACCTTTATGAGTTGACCATCACTGGTTCCTATGAACAGCACAATCCAGGATCCACTTCTAACTGCTGCCACTGCTGACATTGAGCTGTGCTTGAACACCACAGAGAGCGGCTGAAGTTCAGTATCACTCTGAAACACAAACAAATGAAACTTTACATTGACAGTTTTTATTCAAAGAGTGAACAAAACAATAGGCTATACGTTTATCTTGCAACATTCTATTACAAATCTTATCCATGGCTCAGCAAGGTGAAATTCTGTTCTACTAAAAAAAAGCATAGGAATGCAATTTCCAACCTTTGAACCACATGGTTTTTCACCATAAGCGCAGAAGCCCTTCACTCGGCCTTGAATGCTCCTGATGTCGTACAGAGCCAGCGCGCTGTTCTCCGGATCCTGCTGATTCTGCGCACTGAACACACCTGCCCAAATAACGCTGTTCACTGAGGGAATAACAGTGCAGGCGACGAGCACTGGACGAGCTTTATCACTGCAGCATCGTATCGTTGCAGCCTGTAGGGATTTGATGATGTCTCTCTTTTTTCCTTTAGAGCTGTTCATCCACAGGACGAGCACTTTCCTCTCTGAGCCAGACTTTGCGTTGAGAAATAAGTAGGATTCTGAGGGTGAAACTCTCTGGAATCCGCCAACAAACTCCACATCTCTCACTGTGCTCTGAATGATGGCATCTGATCCTTCTGCTATTTTTGAGAAAATCCCACCATACTGAGACTGTAAAGTGTTCCACAAGGTAACAACAGAATACCTGGTATCTTGAGCTTTTGCATCGTCGTCTTTTTTCCCAACAAAAAGGTACCTACTGCTACCTGTACCGGCTATGAAGGCAACAGATTTCTCATCCTGTCGCGGTCCTGCCAATATATTGCTTTCATAGTAAATGCTGTTTGTAATGTCATTTATATCAAGAACTTCACAATATCCATCTTTTAAAGTCCCGCACGTTATCAGGGTGCTGTTGGCGTCAAAAGGCACCAGAATGTTGACTCTGTTGTGTTCAGTGGCATCAGTGATTATTTTCCTCTTCTCCTCAGAAAGATCGTGGCTCATCTGATGTAGTCGATGGTCAGTAAGAACAAATAACATACCTTTACCAACTACAAAGTCCTTGATGTCTGAATCAAAGTTCACCACATCACCGCAAATGCAATATTTCAAAAGTACAAGTATTCCAAGTAATCTTCTCATCTTGCATATCTGATGAGCAGCTGAAGTGTCGATGAACTGCGCTCAGATGCGTTCACTTGTGAAGTGGATGGAAGTGAAAGCAGCAGCTTCTATGGTTACTGTTGACCTTTGCTCAAAGCATTCTAAAGCTTGTCTGAGTGCATGTAAAAAAAAAAAAACAGCGTCCTCTTAATTGTTTTGCATTCACACACATATTTAAAAGCAAGCCTAAACGTTCTAAATTAACCAATAAAGTCAAGATAGAGATGTAATAACGTTGTAAAGCAACCATTAAATACAATGTTTGTGTTTTAACACAATTTTCCCAGTGCCCTAAATATGTAGGCTAATGCCCTAATATGTTTGTTTTACTTGAAAATGTTATGTTAGAATTCGAATGAAAAGTTCAGTATGTATGTATATGTCTGTTTGTGGGCTACGACTGTGTGAATGTGTGAAGAGGGGCACTTCTCTTTAGGTTGTGGATGTCTTGTGCACATGAGTGTCCTATGGAGGAGGGGCCAGTGGCTGCATATGAACAGTGTACACTTTGTAGAGGAAGTGGCAGTCTCAAAATCAATCAATTTTAAAACAAAGTTAGTTAAAAGTTAACATTTTTAACTTTTTGCGTATACAAATGCAAATAACTTCTTTGAATGATGCATCAAACACCATTGCACAATCTAACCACAAGCTCTTACAATGCTAACCACAAAAACAAACAACAGGAACTCTTTTAAATGTCCAACATTACTGAACATTAAACACTAACAGGTTTTTTCCTTTACTTAAAACACACACAACACTTAATTTCAACATTTACTCTTCCAATTCAGTCTTATATGCAAATCATACTGGAAACTAAAAATTCACTCATGCAGTTTCAGTTAATGCAACAAAAATGATTCATGTAGTCCCAACACAAATGGATTTAGTGAACTTCAATTTTACATTTTAAATGGACTGAACACGATAAAGTTGTGATAAAATGCAACTGTGTGGCTTTAGCTCATTTGAATTTATTAATCTGAACAACCAGAATTTCATTCAGTGCATTTTCCAGTCTTTCATATGCTTCCATGAAAAATAATAGTCAAGGCTGTGGAAAAAACCTGCACTCATAATCGCCAGCATTACTGTTGCTCTGGCCTTCAGTTGCTGATGTCAAATATGGTGTGCATAAAGGGACATCTTGCATTGTGTTTATCATCGAGTGCGTTGTTCCATTGACTTGTCAAGAAAAGCAGTTGTGTTGATTGAAACAACTCTTAATTAAAGAACAAGTGATTACATGCATTTGTTACAAGAGTGACAAGACAAAAGGTTTCAGTAAAACTCACAACAATATTTTTTTCTTTTTGTGTACAGTGCATACAAAGAATACCAGGACATATTGTTTAATTAAACTGTTACAGTAATATTACTAGCTAAATTAATTGTCATAAAAGTCATAAACAATTTTTTTTACCTTAAAATGTCTAAAGCATATCTTTTACTTAAATTTTAGATACAATATTATCAAAACTACTGTTTTATAAATAAAAGCCTTTAAAAGATTTTATATAAATGTAAATATTTATATTCATAAATAGCAGTTAACTCTGGTCATCGATTAGTGTAGTAGGCTATTAATGGGGATTTTCAGTGTCTCCTTCTGTAGTTTATATAGGCTAGGTCTATAATTACACCTGTAGATGGCAACAAGAGACTATCTTTTGTATATTGATGCTCCAATGTCAACAGCAATGATATACATATTATCAAATAATGTAATTAAATTATGATACTAATTCACTGAAGCTTATGATTATACAGAAAATAGAAATAAATAGAGCAAAACTCATGGCAAATTATATCTAAATGGCAATAAATTCTATTTGAATCTATCCTGTTCTTTTCTAAATATGAATCTGTTTATGTGCCACAAGGGTGCAGCAGTAGGCTAACTAAAAAACTGCAGAACTTCACAAAACTAAACTATTCAATACAAAGTCTGCTGTCAATACAGTTAATTCAAGAGAGTACAGGCTTGTTCCTTGCTCGATGTTTCTTCTGTGTTTGATCATGAAATGTGTTTGAACATGAAACTGTATAACTTGAATGTCGCAATCAGGGCTACAGATTTGTTGGTGTGTTGCGCGGAAGTCATCGGCATCCTCAGAGCCGCTGCTTTCCCTTCCATCCACTTCACGAGCGGACGCGTCTGAGAGCAGTTGATCTCTGTGACAAGATCTCTGAACTTCAGCTGCTCATCAGATATGCAAGATGAGAAGATTACTTGGAATACTTGTACTTTTGAAATATTGCATTTGCGGTGATGTGGTGAACTTTGATTCAGACATCAAGGACTTTGTAGTTGGTAAAGGTAAGTTATTTGTTCTTACTGACCATCGACTACATCAGATGAGCCACGATCTTTCTGAGGAGAAGAGGAAAATAATCACTGATGCCACTGAACACAACAGAGTCAACATTCTGGTGCCTTTTGACGCCAACAGCACCCTGATAACGTGCGGGACTTTAAAAGATGGATATTGTGAAGTTCTTGATATAAATGACATTACAAACAGCATTTACTATGAAAGCAATATATTGGCAGGACCGCGACAGGATGAGAAATCTGTTGCCTTCATAGCCGGTACAGGTAGCAGTAGGTACCTTTTGGTTGGGAAAAAATACGACGATGCAAATGCTCAAGCTACCAGGTTTTCTGTTGTTACCTTGTGGAACACTTTACAGTCTCAAGCAGGTGGGATTTTCTCAAAAATAGCAGAAGGATCAGATGCCATCATTCAGAGCACAGTGAGAGATGTGGAGTTTGTTGGCGGATTCCAGAGAGTTTCGCCCTCAGAATCCTACTTATTTCTCAACGCAAAGTCTGGCTCAGAGAGGAAAGTGCTCGTCCTGTGGATGAACAGCTCTAAAGGAAAAAAGAGAGACATCATCAAATCCCTACAGGCTGCAACGATACGATGCTGCAGTGATAAAGCTCGTCCAGTGCTCGTCGCCTGCACTGTTATTCCCTCAGTGAACAGCGTTATTTGGGCAGGTGTGTTCAGTGCGCAGAATCAGCAGGATCCGGAGAACAGCGCGCTGGCTCTGTACGACATCAGCAGCATTCAAGGCCGAGTGAAGGGCTTCTGCGCTTCTGGTGAAAACCCATGTGGTTCTGAGGTTGGAATTTGCATTCATGTGTTTAATATACACGCCTTTTAAGATAAGAACAACATTTTACTATATAAAGATAAAATAACCTGAATCTGTTGCATGATTAAATGTAATTGAACTAAAGTCATATAAAGTTTCAGTTTGTTGTTTGTGTTTCAGAGTGATACTGAACTTCAGCCGCTCTCTGTGGTGTTCAAGCACAGCTCAATGTCAGCAGTGGCAGCAGTTAGAAGTGGATCCTGGATTGTGCTGTTCATAGGAACCAGTGATGGTCAACTCATAAAGGTCTCCTTCAATTCTCATACACCCATGCTTTTATTTTCACTATTCTCAATTTTTTTATTTTTACGTATCTGTCCACCATTTCCATTTACACTAAGCTGTTGCCTAATTCTGCATTTGAATTACTACAGTCATAATTCATGATTTGTATTTCTGTTTGTTTTTCTAGCTTGTGCTGGATGAGAAATTCACTCCAGGATGTCCAATAGTGCTATTTAAATCTGATGATGAACGAGCAGTGCTTCCCAGAATGCACTTTGATCCAGTAGATTTCAAACATATCTACATCGCTCTGAGGAAACAGGTGAAGTTTGCAAATGTCCAGTTAACAAACAATAAAAACATTATACACTCTAAAAAATGCTGGATTAAATACAACCCAGTGCTGGGTTAAATAGGGACAAACCCAGCAATTGGGCTGTTTTGACCCAGCGGTTGGGTTAAATGTTTAACCCAACCTTCTGGGTAGTAACCCAGCACTGGGTTGTATTTAACCCAGCATTTTTTAGTTCAAAGAAGTTATTTGCATTTGTATACGCAAAAAGTTAAAAATGTTAACTTTTAACTAACTTTGTTTTAAAATTGATTGATTTTGAGACTGCCACTTCCTCTACAAAGTGTACACTGTTCATATGCAGCCACTGGCCCCTCCTCCATAGGACACTCATGTGCACAAGACATCCACAACCTAAAGAGAAGTGCCCCTCTTCACACATTCACACAGTCGTAGCCCACAAACAGACATATACATACATACTGAACTTTTCATTCGAATTCTAACATAACATTTTCAAGTAAAACAAACATATTAGGGCATTAGCCTACATATTTAGGGCACTGGGAAAATTGTGTTAAAACACAAACATTGTATTTAATGGTTGCTTTACAACGTTATTACATCTCTATCTTGACTTTATTGGTTAATTTAGAACGTTTAGGCTTGCTTTTAAATATGTGTGTGAATGCAAAACAATTAAGAGGACGCTGTTTTTTTTTTTTTTACATGCACTCAGACAAGCTTTAGAATGCTTTGAGCAAAGGTCAACAGTAACCATAGAAGCTGCTGCTTTCACTTCCATCCACTTCACAAGTGAACGCATCTGAGCGCAGTTCATCGACACTTCAGCTGCTCATCAGATATGCAAGATGAGAAGATTACTTGGAATACTTGTACTTTTGAAATATTGCATTTGCGGTGATGTGGTGAACTTTGATTCAGACATCAAGGACTTTGTAGTTGGTAAAGGTAAGTTATTTGTTCTTACTGACCATCGACTACATCAGATGAGCCACGATCTTTCTGAGGAGAAGAGGAAAATAATCACTGATGCCACTGAACACAACAGAGTCAACATTCTGGTGCCTTTTGACGCCAACAGCACCCTGATAACGTGCGGGACTTTAAAAGATGGATATTGTGAAGTTCTTGATATAAATGACATTACAAACAGCATTTACTATGAAAGCAATATATTGGCAGGACCGCGACAGGATGAGAAATCTGTTGCCTTCATAGCCGGTACAGGTAGCAGTAGGTACCTTTTTGTTGGGAAAAAAGACGACGATGCAAATGCTCAAGCTACCAGGTTTTCTGTTGTTACCTTGTGGAACACTTTACAGTCTCAAGCAGGTGGGATTTTCTCAAAAATAGCAGAAGGATCAGATGCCATCATTCAGAGCACAGTGAGAGATGTGGAGTTTGTTGGCGGATTCCAGAGAGTTTCGCCCTCAGAATCCTACTTATTTCTCAACGTAAAGACTGGCTCAGAGAGGAAAGTGCTCGTCCTGTGGATGAACAGCTCTAAAGGAAAAAAGAGAGACATCATCAAATCCCTACAGGCTGCAACGATACGATGCTGCAGTGATAAAGCTCGTCCAGTGCTCGTCGCCTGCACTGTTATTCCCTCAGTGAACAGCGTTATTTGGGCAGGTGTGTTCAGTGCGCAGAATCAGCAGGATCCGGAGAACAGCGCGCTGGCTCTGTACGACATCAGCAGCATTCAAGGCCGAGTGAAGGGCTTCTGCGCTTCTGGTGAAAACCCATGTGGTTCTGAGGTTGGAATTTGCATTCATGTGTCACGCCTTTACGCCTTTTAAGATAAGAACAACATTTTACTATATAAAGATAAAATAACCTGAATCTGTTGCATGATTAAGAACTAAAGTACTAAAGTCATATAAAGTTTCAGTTTCTTCTCTGGGTTTCAGAGTGATACTGAACTTCAGCCGCTCTCTGTGGTGTTCAAGCACAGCTCAATGTCAGCAGTGGCAGCAGTTAGAAGTGGATCCTGGATTGTGCTGTTCATAGGAACCAGTGATGGTCAACTCATAAAGGTCTCCTTCAATTCTCATACACCCATGCTTTTATTTTCACTATTCTCAATTTTTTTATTTTTACGTATCTGTCCACCATTTCCATTTACACTAAGCTGTTGCCTAATTCTGCATTTGAATTACTACAGTCATAATTCATGATTTGTATTTCTGTTTGTTTTTCTAGCTTGTGCTGGATGAGAAATTCACTCCAGGATGTCCAATAGTGCTATTTAAATCTGATGATGAACGAGCAGTGCTTCCCAGAATGCACTTTGATCCAGTAGATTTCAAACATATCTACATCGCTCTGAGGAAACAGGTGAAGTTTGCAAATGTCCAGTTAACAAACAATAAAAACATTATACACTCTAAAAAATGCTGGATTAAATACAACCCAGTGCTGGGTTAAATAGGGACAAACCCAGCAATTGGGCTGTTTTGACCCAGCGGTTGGGTTAAATGTTTAACCCAACCTTCTGGGTAGTAACCCAGCACTGGGTTGTATTTAACCCAGCATTTTTTAGAGTTTATATTGTATATATACTATAGTAGAAACATTTTAGTATTGAATAATAAATAATTCCTGTATATAACATTTTAGTTAACTAAAAATTACTTACTCTTTTCTAAAATGAGTAAGTAAAATGTAATAATGCATTTCAGGAACAATATGAAAAGAATGGTTTGGCCCTATATGCCAAAAAGCTGATCCAAGACATTGTTTTAATCAGTGAATAAAGGCGATTCTCTCATGCCCCACAGTTAGAAACCTCTGAATGAAACTATGCAGTTACTAAATCAGGCAGTATATCTGATGCGTTAGATCGCATTGTCATACAGTCTCTTTCTGCTCATGTTGTTCATGTAGTTAAGAAGAGAGTCCGTTGTTCAGTGTGCTAAATACAGCACTCTGATAGACTGCAGAGCTGCTCTGGATCCTCTCTGCGGCTGGTGTGTGAACACACACAGGTCAGTCTGTCTTTATCATATGTGATTTTTCACATCACACATGAGATCTGCATCTACACTAAATATGCCTAATTGTAGAACAGCATGTTAACTTCTTATCTTCTATATAGACAAGATGAGCAGTGTGCAAACAGTTCTGTAGTGATATATTGGTTGATGCTGTCTTTATCTAGATGTTCTACTCAAGATGAGTGCTCGAATACTTCATGGGTGTCCATCCCAAAAAACTCTCTCCAGACGCGGCTGTTTTCTTTTCAGATGGCAGAGAATTCTTCTAGAAAGGTAGACATTGGCTAGAATTATTTACTTATCATCATTTAGTTAATATTTAGAAGATTGCTTTTACCAGCCATTGCCCTCTTCTACACAGATTACTCTACATCTTTCCTTGAGTCTGGAGAGCACAGGAAATCCTGCCTTCTCATGTACTTTCACTAAAGGAAGTGTAAACCTGTGTAATGGGTCTGATCCGCCTGCAGTTTTCCCAAATTGCTCCTGTAGTTTTTCTGACCAGCTACAATATACTGGAGGTTGGTTCTCCTTCAGTGAAGTTTTTATGTGCTATATTATTGTTTATGATCATAAACGTTTTTGATGATCTGTTCAGGTTTAAGAGTCTCTGCTACTGTTACTATTGAAGATCAGAAGATCACAGAGATGCTGACACTGACAAACTGCTCCACTATCACTGAAAATTCACCAAATGTTTCTTATACACGGTGAGAAAATGTCTATGAGAGTCAATGAGAGTTTTGAAAGACTATTTTGAACTCCTATTTTTAAATGATTAAAAAAACATTAATTAAATGCAGGTGTGTGCAGTGTGTCTCAGCTGGGTGTCACTGGCCCTCTTCCTCCAAACGTTGTGAATGGACAGATGGAAGTGGGCTGCAGTTACACATACAGGTGAGACAATCCAGTGCTTCAGTATTGGGAAAAAACCCTTAAAGGGGTGGTTCACTGTTTTTTTTCTAGACTTGATTGTGTTTATGGGGTGCAGTCTAACATGTGTTAATGCTTCATTTAAAAAAAAAAAACGCATTATTTTTCACATAATTTACCTTTATTCCACACCGCTCTGTCCCTTCTCTGAGAAACGGGCTGATCTTTTCCTGTTTTTATGAAGCCCCGCCCTCAGAAATAGGCGATGGGCTCTGATTGGTTAGCTAAGCCAGTGTGTTGTGATTGCTAAAGCGCCTCTAGTGCGGCTAAACGTCCCGTCCTTCACCTCAGCGGCATGTGCTCCGGTTGTATTGTAAACAATGGCGTCATTAATATTGCTTGTCATTTTGAGCCTGATTGAGAAGCAGAGGATATTACTGAAGAGGATCATGCAGAACCTGTGCAAGCACGGCTTTTAATGGTTGGCCTATGTTTTTTGTTTGTTGTTGTTTCATACGTTTAGATACGCTGTTATGTGTAAATGCTACTGCTTATGTTAGCTTTCATTATACGGTTTTATCCTGTTTAAAGCTTTAATACACTACGGCAACTGCACGCGCGTCCATGTATAACGCTTCTCATAGCTATGTGAAAATAAGTGTATAATTGGAACAGTTCATTGTTGAAGCTGAGCTGAATGAGAGAGAGAGAGAGAGAGAGATGCAGAGCGTGTGCAGAGCAGGGAGACGTGAGGAACAGTATTAAGAACTGCTGCTTTAGAACATTGATTTTGAAACTTGTGAATCCATTAGAATCATTAGAAGACAGAATCGCGATTCATATATGAATAGATTTTTACGTGCACCCCTAGTTTTCTCTTCCTCTTCTCTAAAGCAGCGCAGCATGGCCTCGCCCCCTTTGCTGCCTTTTCCCGAGGGCGGAGTTTATCTGGGACAAACCCGGGAAGTAACTTGTTGTAGTCCCTACCAGCCATTTTTTTAGGCATTAAACCGCCAGCATTTTAAAAGACGATATCTCCGTTTGCATTGAACTTTCAGCTTCGTAACTTTGCAGATATTGTTTATGCTCAAACAGCAACATTACACACTAACTAACGTTAAAAAAGTGAAACCGCAATCAACCACTCCTTTAATAAATTCATATTAATTCATTGTTGATAACTGAACTATCATTGTGTTGACTGAATGAACTCAGGAAGTATATGAGCTGCTCTTTCTTTACTTTTTAGGATGCATGTAAATATCTACTGTCTGAGATGGTCTACAATGTAAGTGTCATACTGATTATGTGTCCAACTTCACAGGATAGGGATGTGGTTTTTTCAGTATGTTCCTATTTCAAATGAATATGACTTTACAAGAGACTGAGGATTTAGTTTCCCCATTTGAGAAACAATTTGTCACAATTATATTTATTTTTAAATTATATATGATACATTATATATTCATATTTACAATATATTTTATCAATGTGTATTTATAATACTATTACTACTATTAATACTCATATTGATAAATTATATAATTAAGTATAACTTATTATATAGTCAGTTATTAAATTCATTTTAACTTCTGTTATTTTGTTTATATTCAGTTGTTGTTTTTTTGTAACTGAGTGCAACCTTTGTTGTTTTGTAGAAGCCGGAGATTCTGTCTCTGGAGCCGAACAAAGTTTCTTTCCATGGCAGAAACAATGTTTTACTAAGAGGAAGGAACCTGGAATCTGTCACTAAAATCCGTATTCAAGGGTATCTGGACTGCATTCCTAAAGAGTGAGACTCTGTGTGTTTGTTTAGTGGTATATATGAATGTGTGTAGATTCAGATAAATCATACTGTATATCTTTACCTTCAGATCTCCAGTGTTTGATCGCTCCAGTGACACTCTAAGGTTCCACATTCCTCCCAGTGAAACTAAAGGAACAGTGAAAGTGTGTGTTGTTACTCCTGACGACCGTTGTCATGGTAACAGCATCATCACTTACAGTTCTCAGCCCAGCTGCACTGGAATACAGCCCACGGTCAGCTGGAGCAGGTCAGACCACTGTCTGATCAACTTCCACATCCCATCAGCACCTCAAGATGACAACTGCACATTATAATTAGTGAATCTAATGTCATACAGAACAATTTAGTCATTAAATTAGCAAGAATGCTGTTAATGTGGAAAAATAATATTTGCAAAGTAATGATCTGATGAGATACTTTTAGAGCAGATTTTTTAAATATATGCGAGACAGCAAGAATTAAAGCAGTAATGAGAGTCATTAGGTCATTTCCTGCATGTTTTATCGTGTTTCTGAGATCTGCAGTTTACTAACTCACATGTGTCCTTAAGGCCCGTTCACACCAAGAACGATAACTATGAAGATAACTATATTAGCGTCCACACCAGCGGACAATAACGTCTGTTAATTCTAAGCGCACGCTCCTCTGCCGCCTTAAATTCTTGAGCTCATTACAGCAGGATTGATTCTGATTGGGTGTCAATGTTTTTATCGTTCAGCTGAAAAAAAATAATTCAGAAATTATTTTCTGTTCCTTTATCATTATAGCTGTGGTGTGGACACTGCTATTCTGTAATTTTTAGAACTACACTGAACAAAATTATAAACGCAACACTTTTGTTTTTGCCCCCATTTTTCATGAGTGGAACTCAAAGATCTAAGACTTTTTCTGTGAACACAAAAGGCCTATTTCTCTCAAATATTGTTCACAAATCTGTCTAAATCTGTTAGTGAGCACTTTTCCTTTGCCGAGATAATCCATCCACCTCACAGGTGTGGCATATCAAGATGCTGATTAGACAGCATGATTATTGCCTTAGGCTGGCCACAATAAAAGGCCACTCTAAAATGTGCAGTTTTACTGTATTGGGGGGTCCAGGGGGGTCCGAAAACCAGTCAGTATCTGATGTGACCACCATTTGCCTCACGCAGTGCAACACATCTCCTTCGCATAGAGTTGATCAGGTTGTTGACTGTGGCCTGTGGAATGTTGGTCCACTCCTCTTCAATGGCTGTGCGAAGTTGCTGGATATTGGCAGGAACTGGAACACGCTGTCGTATACGCC